CAAGTGACCTGAAGAATTTAAAAAAATGAAGACGCACTCAGTTCTTCAGGCTCAGGCTCCAACAGAATTGATTCAAAAATTGAATTGAGGAGATCATGTAGGTCTTGAAAAATCAGTCTGACTCAATATTGATTCATTTCGAACTATGGTAAAAGACCAGTATCAGTTGCCTGATTGGAGTTACAATGAGATATGATGGAAATAACTTACAGTGAACGGTAGGAGAGAATTTGCGCGGAATCATTTACATCATGAGAAGTTTTACCAGCTATACCAGTGCTCAATTGATTTGCCTGCTGCGGATCAATAAAAGTTACAGCAGAAGAAGATTGAGTTCTGATGGCCGAGTCCAGAGCCGAAGTCAAGTCATAGCGCCTTCGAGTCAGCGGTGGTGGGGAGGTAGAATCTTGACGTGATGAGCCTCTTAGGATGGTGTGGTCATCCTGTACCTGATCCCTTCTCCGTTTCAAGGATGGTATGCGTGAGTTCGAAATGACAGATGTACTTGGTGGTATAGCTATAGCAGATTGGGAGGCGGTTGAAACTGATGATTTGGGACCTGAAGAGCCTGATTCACAGCGCCTTCGCGTGAGCGGTGGTGAGTTCGAGGTAGAGTGTAAACGGTGTGATGGGGCTTTTAAGCTGGTGCGGTCGTCTCGGAGCTGGGAGTGTTGGCGCTTCAAAGATACCATACGAGAGTTTGGATCTGGAGACGCGATTGGTGATCCACCAGGATGTAATGTAGTTTCTTCATCACCGGACTCTGTGTTTCAACAATGTGATCAAGCGTAAGTCTCACATCAAGTGATTCTTAGCAGGTGATGTTAAAATATAAAAATGGAGACATACGCATTCCGTCTGGCGCAGGCTCCAACATGATGGATTCGACATTCAGATCAAGCAGATCATCGAGGCCCTGAAGATCAGCTTGGCTCGATATCGTTTTATTTTGGATGTGGGTCAAAAGACCAGCATCAGAATCCTTTACATTCTGAGGGGTTTCGCCAGCTATACAAGTGCCCAATTGAACTCCCTGCGGCGGATCAATAGCAGAAGAAGACTTCAATTGGATGGCTGATTCCAGAGCCAAAGGCGAGTCACAGCGCC